AGAGAGAGAGAGAGAGAGAGAGAGAGAGAGAGAGGGAGGGGAGATAGATGGGGATATAATAAGATTTCTTTTGAGCTAGAAGAAAAGATGAAACGAGTTATATATTGGTTAGATGAGAAAATTATTTTGACTGGAGATTAATAGAAACTTAACCTTCTATTTACAGGAGCTGCCATGCAGGTGCTGAGATCGAACCTGAGTCCTCTGCAAGAATAGCCAGTGCTCTTAACCGCTGAGCCATCTCTCCAGCTCCTATATTTTCTTCTAGGGAACAATAATAACAGACTATAATATCTTCTTTGTGAATCCTGCATCTCATTGTAATTTCCCTATACAAATAAAATAATGTAAACCACATGAATTGAACACTTGTGACTGGATGTGCTGGCCTTGCTGGTTTTATTCCATTTTAGCTTCATGGAACTTTAAGGATAGGGAGCTCTATTTAGGACACAGGTAAAGAAACAAGCCTTAATGTTCCTTAGGCTTTTTTTTTTTTTTTTTTCTGTTTCTGGAGCAAGGTCTAGGATTTTGTAAGTAGTCCCCAAGGACTCAGTCCCAGAGCTCTGTGTAAATTTGAGCTTAAAATGGAATGTATTCTAAGATAACTCCCTTTAGTGCCAGAAACCTAATATAAATGTGTCTTCCAGGCAGGACTCAGAAAGGGGATTTAGTATTGTGCAGTTTGAGGTTTTGAGGAAGACAGGTGAACACACTGCTAATTTCTGGTGAGTAGATGAGGCAGCACTTGACAAGAAACATGGACAAGGCTGTTTTCACACATGTGTATCCATATCACTCCATACTGAGGAGTCAGGAGAACCTGTTTTGTATTTGAATGCCAGAGTTTGTAATTTAATGATGCATTGCTTCATACCTTTTTAACATCCTTTGTAGTGTTTTTCTTTTGACCAGTACATAGTCACTCAGCAGAGAGAAGATTCCAGGAGCCAAATCCTATTCTACGTTTTCCAAAGGAAGAAGAAAGGTCTAAACGTTACAACTCTTTATTGGTTTTTCTGTATTCAGAGTGGAATGCAAAACTGCCATATGATCATGACCATGTTCTGAACTATTCAAATGGCTGGCACGAGTCAACGCATAGTCAACTGCAGCAGGCTATATTTCATAGTAAAGGTGATTTCACAGAGACAGCAATTCATGTACCAGCTCTTTCATCCTTTTTCCTCCTCCTCCTCCTCCTCCTCCTCCTCCTCCTCCTCCTCCCTCCCTCCCTCCCTCTCTCTCTCTCTCTCTCTCTCTCTCTCTCTCTCTGTCTTTCTCTCTCTCTTGCACTTTGTATACCATTTTATTTTTATTTTTTCATACCAACAGGAGGGAGATCTTCATGTTTCCTAGACAGCGAGACATGATATTCAACCACAACAAGAGCATTTTCCACCCGGCCACACTTTTTCTTGTTGGAATCCCAGGACTGGAAGAGGTTCATACTTGGATCTCTGTACCTTTCTGCTCCGTTTACCTCGTGGCTTTAATAGGCAATGCCACAATCCTGATAGTCATCAAGACAGAGCATTCTCTCCGAGAACCCATGTTCTACTTTCTGGCCATCCTTTCAACAGTTGACTTGGCTCTTTCTACAACCTCTGTGCCTCGCATGCTGGGTATCTTCTGGTTCAATGCCCATGAAATTAACTTTGGAGGCTGTGTGGCTCAGATGTTTTTGATCCATGCCTTCACTGGCATGGAGGCCGAGGTCCTGATGGCCATGGCCTTTGACCGGTATGTAGCCATTTGTGCTCCTCTCCACTACACAACCATCTTGACATCTCGGGTGCTAGTGGGCATCAGTATGTGTGTTGTGATTCGGCCAGCCTTGCTTATATGTCCAATGATCTATCTTATTTATCGCCTACCCTTTTGTCAAGCTCATGTGATAGCCCATTCCTACTGTGAGCACATGGGCATTGCAAAACTGTCCTGTGGCAGCATCCACGTCAATGAGATGTATGGGCTTTTTGTGGTCTCTCTGTTTCTTCTGAACCTACTTCTTATTGGCATCTCTTATGCTTACATTCTCCGTGCTGTGTTCTGCCTCCCATCTCAAGATGCACGGTTAAAAGCCCTCAGCACGTGTGGTTCCCATGTTGCAGTTCTCTGTGTTTTCTACATCCCATCAGTCTTCTCTTTCCTCACTCATCGATTTGGACACAACATACCACACTACATTCATATTCTTGTTGCAAACATCTATTTGGTTATTCCTCCCTCACTCAATCCCATCATTTATGGTGTAAGGACCAAACAGATACGAGAGCGAGTTCTCCATGTATTTACTAAGAGGTAAGTGTCTCCTACTCCTTAATCTGCCTATGAATATTCATGTTCTTGCTTAAGGGCTATCCCCTGTCCATTTCTTTGGGCTGTCAATTTGCAGAACATGTTGGTCTACTTCAGCCTATGGATCAATGACTCACAGTCCTGCAGAAATTTCATCATATCTCAAGTTTGAAGAACTGGTAGACTAGACTGGAAGTGCTATTCTGGGAGAAAGTCATATGGACTTTGCCTGTATGACCTCAGGCAGGGCTCTGGCTCCCTAGTCTGCTTTTTTCCATCATGCAAGCTTACATTCAAGTGTTCAACTCAAATTTGTTTTGTGTTCATTGTATATTTTGAATCATTGTAACTCTGGAAGAAAAACTAAGACCCAAATTAACCCATACTATCTGGCTCTATATACATTGTGTTGCCATATGCTCCTGTAAAGCCACAATCCTGGGTTCATTACAGCCATGATCAAATGGATTAATGTGGAATTGTCTGTCCCATACTGGAAGCTTTGTGCAATGACAGACAAAGCCAGCACATTTTCAAGAACATTTCCCACAAAGCCAACAGTAAGGTATCATTAAGTGTCCTGCACTTAGCAGCATAGCAGAGGCATGACGAATCCAGTTACGTAGAATATATCAATGTGATAAATAGGCTTGTGATTTCCTGGTACTTTAGCTTTTTTTTTTTTTTTTTTTTTTTTTTTTTTCCACTTGCTTTAATCCTAAAAAGTTCTTTTCCATCACCAAAGGTGTCTTTTCTTTGGTTCACCATGTACCCCTTGCTTTCTCAACGACTTTAGTGACGAAAGCTCAGTCTGAGCTGGGAATAAGCTCTTCATGTGAGGTGAAAAGTGGATTTTCAAGCGACTTATTTTTAAAGAAAAATCCGAAGACTTGACAAAAAAATTTGTGCTACCAAAGACATAAATTTAAATTTTCATACATTTAAAATAATAGCACTTTTTTTCAGACCAAAAAGGGAACAAAAGTGAAAATATAGGGAATATCTGTTGCCACGAACAAAATTGAACAACCCTTAACATTTCACTCATTGCGGAGAGACTGCTTAATGAAACACACGAAAGGAACCTTTAACACTTCCCAGACACAATTGATCCCCCAGGACTCTAAAAGCAAATCCTAGAGTGTCATTTTGCTGAGCGCAAATCTGTAGTCTTACCAATTTTTGCATATTTCTTAGAATATTTGGTGTTAATTATATAAATTAATTCTGTGTGCTTGTAGTCTTAACTCCACTTGCATATTCATCTTCTTGCTCATATTATTTCAATTAGGAAATATATTGCTTATCTCCATAGCGTTTTCAAATGTTATTGTATTTCATTTTTCTTTTCTGTTTTGTTTCTTGAAGTAAAATTATTAGCTAGCAGGATTATCAGGTCCCCAGAGTCTGTATGCTTCCTTCATCTTTGTTTTAAGAGTCATGCTTTTTAAAACGTTCATCTTTTCCAGTAATTTACAGTGTATCACAAATCTACAATTATTTTACTTCTTTTTTTTTTCAGAACCCCTTTCTTCACTGATGCTTGAAAAATATTTATATCTCTTCAGTTGTATGAAAAACAATTGGTTACTGCAGTATTTAAAACAAAAATATTAGGACTTTTAAAATTCATTTTTATTTATTTATTTACTTATTTGTTTAGAGTTAATTTTTGAATCAGGGCCTCCCTGTAGCCTCAGTTGCTCTAGAACTTGCTAGGTAGTCTAGGCTGTCCTTGAATTCACAGGGATCCTCTTGCCTGTGCCTCTTGAGTGCTGAGATTAAAGCTGTCTGCCACCATGCCTGGCTTGATTTTATTTTTTTTAATTATTTTTCTTATGTATCTATTTCTCTTCTGCTGTAGTCTGCATTTTTATTTCTAGATTTAAGAAAAACATTAAAAGGTATTTTATTTCTTGAGATATATTTTTAATAATTTATTTCTACAGAAAAAGTCATGACTGTTTTTTTTGCTCTGTGATTCCTCTGTTTTCTTGGGAAAACCAAAGATTGCTACTGTTTTTCTCTTTGCTGGCCACAGTTCCCCTTTGACTGTTAATTTTTAATGATGGTTTTAATGTCTATTGTGTCCTCATTTACCACCTTATTTGAATCACAGAAGTCTATATAATTTTCAGCATTCTTTTATAGAGTCTAATTTTTAATGTTTTTTGAGCTTCATACATGAGCACTGAATTTACGTGACTTTCAGCCCTCCTTCTCTCTCTTCTAACTCCATGCTCTACTCTGTCTCAATGTCATGACCTCTTCTTAGATTATTATTGCTAAATGTATATATATGTGTGTTTCTTGAAAATGTCTATGTATAATATTTTGAGTCCATTTAGTGGTGCTTGTGTGTACATGAGTTTAGGCTGACCACTTGGGATTGGATAGCCTATCAGGGAGCTTGTCCCTGGAGTAAACTGGTTCTGATTCACCATCCCTCATCAGCCATCGGTTGCCTGTATCTCTTCATGCAGATGTAGGACCTTGTGAAATATCCCCATTCACACTGGCGTGTTGGCTGCTGTTGCCATCATGCAGATCTTATTTGAGCAGCCGTATTGTTGAGATTTCACAGGTGCCTCTTCCCTGTTATGTCTAGAACACACTATCTCTAGCAGCGGATGTCCTAGTCCTCTGGCTCTTACAGTCTTCCCATGGCTGTTCCTTGGTATTCCCTGACCCTTAGGTGTAAAGGCTGCATTGTGGATGTGCCAGCTGGGGCTGGGCACCCCAAGGTCACTTATTCTCTGTATTTCAACCAGTCTTGAAACTTTGCATTTGTCTCCGTGTGTTGGAAAAAGAAGCTTCTTGGATAAGCGACAAGAACCACACAAATATCTGTAGATTAACTTTTGTTTTAACCTGTTGTTAAGGAAATTTGTGTTGATATATTTTTCAAACCTTTAGAAGTATTTTTCTCTGTTCTTTAGATAAGAGGCTTGTCTTTGATGTTCCAATATCTGTCATAATATTGGCTATAAATATATGTACATTTAAATTATTTATTATTAATGTATATAGACATGATGTGTGTGAGAGGGTGAGGGTGCATGTGTCAAAATCAGAGGATAAGTTTGTGGTGTGGGCTTGCTTTGACATTTACATGAGTTCCAGAGATCAAACTCAGATCTCTAGGCTTGCATGGTATGTTATTTCCCTTATCTGCTGCTATGATAAACACCAAGACCAAGAGCAACTTGGGGAGGAAAGGGTTTATTTGGCTAAGTCTATCAGTTTACAGAGGCTGAGGCAGGAATCTGGAGGCAGGAACTGAGGCAGAGATCACAGAGGAATGCTGCTTACTGGCTTGTTTCCTCTGATTTACTCAGCTTATTTTCTTACACAGCTCAGACCTACCTGTGTAGGAATGGAGCTGTCCACAGTGGGCTGGGTCCTATATCAATTAACACTCAAGAAAAAGCCTCATAGACATGAGGTCAGTCCAATGGAGGAAATTCCTTAATTGAGATTCTCTCTTCCCACATGTCTCTACTTTGTGTAAAGTTGACAAAAAGTAACCAACACACATAGCAAAGGCCTTTACCAGATGAGCCATCTTGCTAGTACCTATGTATGTATTATATTTAAAATAATGTTCAGTATTCAGTAAATCCTTATGCTATGAAATGCTATTTATTACTTTTAAGGGCTTTGAAAGTTTTATTTCTTTTATTATTTCTTACCACCTTTCCTTTTGTACTTTCCTGTCACTATTAAAACTAAACCTTGAACTCTGTCTTTTACTCATGAATTTTATCTTTCTTCCTTTAAACCCACTGGTCTTATTTTCAGCATTGTATGTCTTCTTTCTTATCTCTCCAATATCAATATTTTAAATACCATTTTTTGTGTTATTCATAAATACTCATGATTTAATTTTATGTTTCATATTCACACGTACCTGCATATATTTAAAAATATTGAAGTTTCTTACTAATTATGCTTCATATAGCTTCTCATCATATTTTTAATCATTTTTCAAATGCTGTGCGTGATCTAAGAGTGTTTTCTGATTAGTAATGAGAGCTTTTGTGATTTCCTGTTGGATATTTAAGGATCCTTACTAAGCAGTCTTTGTAGGTGGGGATTTTAGGATGAATAATCTCAGACAGAGATAGTATAGGAAGCTCATTTGCGAGTGATAGAATAAGGACCCTTTAAAGCTATGCAATCTTGCAAGTTTCATTGCAGTGAATAAGTTCACAGAAACTGACTTCAAGGTAGTCCCCTGGACTATGCAGGGGACTCAGTGTAATCACATGTATCCTTAAAAGTAGATGACAGAAGTAGAAAGATCAGATTGAAGGGAGATGCAATGCTAAAAGATGGTCACGGTCACCAAATGAGGATGAGTCATCCTACTGATACTAATCATGAAAATAGAGAAAAGAATAGTGAGTCAGAGTTATGAGCAACTATAAATAAAGAACCAAGCAGAATTTTCCCTGGAGCCTGTAGCAGGGAATGAAGCCTAGAAAATACCTTGATTCATTTGATCGAGAAACACATGAACTTTGTAACCGACAGAACACAAAGGTGTTAAACATATTAATTTAAATCACTAAGTCTGTGGCAATTTGTTATTGTTATCATTAAGAACCAGATACATCTCCACTCTCAAGGACAACACATTAGCAAGGTGGATGAAGGAAGAGAAAGGAAATGATTTACGATGCCTTGGAGTGCAGTGTTTGTAAGCAAAATTCCAGTTTTACCTGGATAAAGAAACAGCCTGATTCTTAGCAATAAACTTAAAGCCAAATGTGGACAGATGTCCACACAGATGTCTCTCAGAATTGTTCCTACAGATGTCTCTCAGAATTGTGCTTTTGGGTCAGGCTTCATATATTCTCTTACTGAAACAGAATCTCCAGCATTAATTGGGGAAGTAGAAGCTAGGACTCACCCTTTGAGCCCTAGGCCTAGAATATCTCACACACACACACACACACACACACACACACACACACACACACATTTCTCAATTTTTCTCACACT